GGGGAAAAAGGTGCTTAATACATAACGTTTTTAACGTAATTTTATGGAATGTAATGTAGTTTACTACTTTATGTTTTTGTTAGGTATTAGATCTTGTCTACTATGCTTGTTAAAAATTTCACTTTTATGATAGTGTTGACTACAACTCGCTCGACCGTTGCTGCCGTATTATCACTCTGTATTCGTTTATGACATTATTGAGGTGTGGATTAGGACGACGGATGACACGTTTTCGTTTTTCCGTGCTCTCGATATTGGAATACTTTCCTTGGAGAACCGTTTTTTTTTAACGAAACGTGTTAAGCAGTAAATGAACTATATTTGGTCAGTTCTCCCTCCGGTAAAATTATTAACGAATGGAATGCACCAATTTTTCTAGCATCCACCTATTTTTCTTCCATCGGCTGGTTTTCTGAATATTCCATCAACTCCCACTTCAAAATGTACGTTCTATTTTCCAGAAAAATTCAGTTGCATTTCGGCTTTGGTTGATTTCGCAGCTTCCTCAACGATTTACGTTGGCTCTCTTTGTTGCTATTCTCTGCTACGTGCTTAATAATAATCTTTTCTGTGCTCATAGTGCATTTTCAGGATTTCCGGTTATCATTTACCCAGTGATATTTGCAAGATAGTGTTTAGTTCCACTACTTACTGCACATTCTGGTGTATTTTTGATAATTTTTTAGGTTTTGATTTATTTCTTAGTGCTTTGTTTCTTATCACAATGGTGCAAAGTTCCACGAAGTGCGTTTATAGTGGTTGTGGAAACTCAAAGAAAAATCATCCACATTTAACATTTCATCGTTTTCCAGACAACTCTATCATGTAAGTATTGTTTTTCTCTTCTGAAGAATGTTACGTCTATAAATTCTAATCATCTCAAGCAGAATTAATTTTAGTTTCCATTATTCTTAGTAGCCATTGGGAAACAGACTGTCGTCAGACTTACGTATGTTGCTGTCTTTTGGTTTCTTAACGTAAGATCAACGTTAAAGATCATATGCTGCTGCAGAAAGGAAGCAGAATTACGTAAGGCTGTCGAAAATTCTGACGTCTGATCTTGACTACTAGGGCTGTTTCTACTTCAATAACATTTTTGTTTTTTTTTATTTAAACAGGAGTAAGTGTTGGATTGAACGATGTGGCAATTCCAATCTCGCAACTCTGGAGCTCAAAAAGTTGCGCACCCGCCAAATCTGCTCTACGCATTTTGAAGACAGTGATTTTAAACCTGGCCCTCGAAGATTGCTGTTTCCGGAATCTGTTCCAAAAATTGCAGACAATGTAAGTAATGCTGCAAATATTACTCTAGGAAGTATTAGCGTTGATTTGCGGGAAGAGTTCTATGAAGAAAATGCAGAATCGATTCCGAAGAGTTCCAATCCGTTAATAAAAAAATATAAATTAATTATTACGCGGCAAAAAAAGAAGATCAATTCTTTACGTCGTCAAATTTCAAGATTGAAAAAATCGCGAACCAATTTTTCACTCAAATCAGCCAAAAAATATTTTAATTTTGCTGCTCCCCGAATTTTTACAAATAATAAGCAGCTATGCTTTATTAACATGCAGGTAAATCATTTAAAATCATGTAAATGGACCGAAGAAGAAAAGCAAATTGCTTTGTCCATTTACCAACGCGGGCCCAAAGCGTACAGATTTTTGCGTGATGAATTAAATATTACCCTTCCGTGCTTGACCCTAATTCATACGTGGCTGAACAATATTGACGTTACTACTGGATTCGATCCTGCATTTTTTTCTCTACTCCGTAATAAAGTCGAAAGTATGAGTGAAAATGAACGTGAATGTGTCTTGATGTGGGATGAAATGGCCATAAAAGAATCGTTAGAATTTGATATCAAAAAAGACTTTGTGCACGGGTACGTAGACTTAGGTTCATTAGGTCGCACTAATGATGTTGCAAAATTAACCTTAGTTTTTATGTTACGCGGATTAACTTCATCGTGGAAGCAACCGATAGCTATTTTTTTTTCGCGTGAAAATGTCAAAGGTAATATCTTGAAATACCTTGTAAATGAATGCATTGAAAATGTATTTTCGATCGGTTTAAAAATTAAATTCATGGTATGCGATCAAGCACAGACCAATTGCAGTGTGTTCAAATCATTAGGGATATCATTAGATAAATTTTATTATGAGTGGAATGATGAGAGAATCTACTGCGGCTATGATAGTCCACATATGTGGAAGTGTTTCCGTAATTTATTATATAAACACGATTTTATTTTAAATGGAGAGATTATTTCATGGGGTGCAATTCGTGAATTATTTGATATCGAAAAATACAACGTCGCGAGAGCATGTCATAAATTAACTAGTCGTCATCTGGATCCGGGCCCGATGGAAAAAATGAGTGTGAAATTAGCGACACAGGTTTTCAGCCATACAGTAGCATCAGGCTTGAAAGCTGGCTATTGTACTGGCGAATTGAAACATCCCGCATGTAAAGCTACCGCGGAATTTATTGAGAGAATGAATTGTATAATTGATTGTATGAATGCGAAAAGTATATGTGATAATAATATGTATCGTGCCGGGTTATGCAAATCGCGTGATTTCGTCGAAAGATACTTGATAAGTTCGTGTGAATGGCTTTCAAGTTTATCTCTGGCTAACGCTGCCAAAGCTCCTCCCTCTTTTACCAATATGATAATTACAATTAATAGTACCTTAGAGCTTTGGAAAGAATTACAAAATCGTAATGTAGAATATTTAATGACAGCTAATTTACAGCAGGATCCATTAGAGAATTTATTTGGATATTGGCGTGGATCCTGCGGAAATAATTCAAATCCATCAGCAAAAAGAGTGATGAGCTGTGCGCAACGATCTATGGTATATAACGTTGGTAAAGCTCCTGAAGGAGCGAATTGCGAAGAAGATAAAAACGAATTGTTGTTGAAAAATACAAGTATCGATACGCCGGTAGAACTGAATGATAATAATGGATGTATTGTGGCCAATAGTGATGTAATTTGTTCTGATATGCTTTGCGATAATGAAGTCTTCAATGATACTAAGCGCGATGAAATTGTAGATTTATTAGGATTTTCATTAGAATTGTGTGCTATACGATATATTGCGGGATATCTTGCTTATCGCCTGTATAAGCAGCAAAAGCGTGAATTATCTGAAATTGATAGAGACAATAAGATCAAGAAGTGTAGTTGTACAGTTCGTCTAATTAAAGACAACAGCGATCTGGAGGTGGCATCAGAAATTTTAATCAATATGAAGGCGTATAGCACTATTAACGATAAAGAATTAGGAAACCTTAAAGCACCCGATGACCAATTTTTCGCGATAATAAATTACGGATGCATGATGTTTAAAAACATAATAATACCTGCGTTTTACAGGAAACAACCGCGAACAAAATTTGTTAGAATCTTCAATCAGTGGGTCATTAAAAATCATAAAGGATGGATGGATGCGTTCTGCTCAAAACATTATGAATTTATAGTGAATGTTTTTAGCAGAATGATGATATTTTATAACTTAAAATGGCTGTCAGCGGAAATGCGTGAATGTTCAAAGCACAAACGATCAAATAGCACATACGAAAAAAATCAAAAATTGAAAAAACTGAGGAATGAATGAGAAAAATAGTAAGAGTAGAAGTAGGTAAAATATTGTAGTAAAAAAGCATACATAATTGCAGCAAAATGAAAATGAAGTGAACACGCAATCCTTCCAGTCGCAAAATTCCAATCATCGTTTTGGAACATGGACTATACCTACAGGGGAAACCATGAAAAAAAAAATGCACCTATCATTCTACCTCATGGGTGGTGCGGAAAAGAGTGAAAATGATATAAATATAATTCGCGGCTTTTCATTATTTTAATCATAAAGAATTATACATCAGAGTGTCATTCATAATTCTGCGGATTTTTATTTCTTAATCTTGATAATTGAAGGAGTTATAAATTTTAAAAGATGGAAAAGTTATGTTTGAGGCACCTTTTCC